CGGAGCCCCCATTACGCTGGCGCGTCTGTTTCTCCTCATGGCTCCTGAGTGCTTTCACACCTGTCCATCTTTCAGGCTCTCCGATGCATTCAGGGTGACTTTGCCGTCACTGTCCCCCAGCCCCCTGTTCTGCTGTGTCTAGTTCAGCCACTTACAGTTGATCCCACTCATTGAGGAACTTTTCTCGGTGACATTTTTAACTTACTTTTCCTACAAAGCTGGCCCTGGCGATGCTTTCCACGGAGTGCAACACCCAAGTCTGTTACAAAATGGGGTGTTCCCTCTTACCACAAGACATTGATCCAGGCAGTCACAGGGTGCCTAGGGGACCCTCGGTCCGAAAGGGCAGTCAGAGCTGAGAGCTTACAGTAGGGGGAGCAGAGCTGGGCAGCAGCCCAAACAGAGCCGCGGCAGCACAGACTTACCAGGTGGCCACGACTGGACGCTAAGGACCTGTCCACTGTGGGGCCCGGGTTAGCCTGGTAGGGGAACGGACAACCCAGCTCATCCTTCCTTTGGGACCACAGTGAAAGCTAAGTGCTGTCAGAGAACACTGCTGGGGAATATTTCCCTCTTGGGGAACCCTCCATGGTAAGCCAGGCCCACAATCATAGGATCGGGGAGGGAAAAGGTGGAGGTGCTGAGGAGTCATCTGCCTGGCTCCCCGCACCAAGTCCACGTTTCCTGCAGGTATCGAGCATTCAGGGACCACGATGGGCATTATTCCGGGACCTACTGGAACCTTCTGGCCATCCGCCTGGCCTTTGTCATCGTGTTTGAGGTAGCCGGGGCACCTCCCAGGGCCCTGTTGGCTTCCCCCACTGGCTCTCTCTGCCTTAGCATGATGGCTGCCCCCCGCTTTGCCTAATCGCACCATGTGGCTTGGTTGGGGGGTCGGTGTGCCCAAAGGAATAGAGCCCCGGTCTTACGCTCTATCACCCTGGTCAAATCACCATTCTCTGCGTCATTTTCCCGTCTGGAAAGGGGAGCTAATCCCTGCCTGGACATCAGAATGATCTGGGCGCTGTGCTGTGTCCAAGGGAAGCTCCATGGAACCACAGCAGCAGGGGGTGGTCTCTGTGGCCGTGAAGACACTGCTGCTTTCCAGTTCTCCCATATCTGGGGAGCAGGTGCCCATACCTGGGCCCGTGAAGGCCACTCTGGGCATTTGTTTTACCAATGGGTGGGGTTCCCTCTCCCACTGCTGGTCCTGTCCCCTGCTCCCAGCATGTGGTATTCTCCATCGGCCGGGTCCTTGACCTCCTGGTACCTGACATCCCTGAGTCTGTGCAGATCAAGGTGAAGAGGGAGTACTATTTGGCCAAGCAGGCGCTAGCCGAGAATGAGGTGAGCCCCCACCCGTAGCCCTCACCCACCTGCCGTGGAGTGGTCCCAGCCAGGCACTCTGCTGCCAAGCAGGCCGAGGTGAAGTTGGTTTAATCACACTCTCCTTGGCCACCCCTCCTGGACAGACTCTCTTTGGGACTAATGGAGCCAAGGATGACCCGCCCCAATCCTCAGCGGAAAGCCTGGGCCCACAGCCTAGGTGGCCAGAAGCCAGCCGAGCCTCCCCAGTCCCTTCCCTCTGAGGTCACAGGGATCACAGCAGCTGAGGGTCCTGGAGCCACACCCAGCTGGAGGGCAGAGGCCTCGGCTCCGGAGAGGCTGTTAAAGCCTTCCCACCCCGGGGAGCCGCAGCCTCCCCTGCCCCTCTTCCACTGCCTTGGGCTCCTGCCCCCTGCCTCCCAGGCCCTGGCTGCAGCCCACACTGGCCACCTCTTTGGAGTACCCAAAGCCAGGTACCTACGGCAGCGGAACCTGGAGGCCTGGGATGCCATGCCCAAGGGAGCGGCCCCCACTGTCTCCCAGCCCCGAGCCAGTATCTCCTCACTCCCGGGGCAGACCTGCTCTACCTCTGAGATGCTGGCTCCACCACGCCCCTGCCTCTGGGCATGCTGCCTACTCGCCCACATCTTCACTCAGAGCTGTGGCCTTCCAGGCCTCAACCCTCCACTTGGTGCCATCCTGGGCCCCTGCACCCCCACCCCGCCCACCTCTCCCTGCTCACTTCCCACTTGCCCCTCAGCCCTCACATGACTCATCTGCCAATCCAGCCAGTGGACCGGGGTCCTCAGTTCTCTCTGGTGCTTTGCTGTGCCTGCTGTCTTTGGAATGGTGGAATGACCCCTCCCTCTAGGCCCATCTGACACGCAGAGCCCTGCCTGACCCCAGCACCTGTGCTCCAGGTCACAGGGGAGTCAGCTCACCCCAGCACCCCACTCCCTCCCCACTTCCCTTTCCCTCCCAGCTACCCGCAGCCTCTCAGGCTAAAAGGAAGCAGCACTGTGGGCTCCCTCCCAGGCTGCGCCCCGAGGCTGGGAAGGCCTGGAAGGAGACCGTTTCATTCCCTGACCAGTGAAACACTGGAGTTTTCTGTGTTTACACACAATCGTCTCCAAAGTTAGGAGCAGCATGCTTCGTGGTCAGCTTCATCACTGACTGGACGTGCACCCCTCCCACATCCCCCTCACGTTAACTCAGTTACCCTACCTCTACGCCACTGTGCTTCCCCTCCCCTGGCACTCCTCTGCCTGCACCTTGTAATTCATGCCGGAATAAACCTCCAGATACTGTGTGACCACCGCCTCCCTCAGGGCACACAGTCCAGGCTGACACCTCCAAACAGCATCCTTGACAATGTGGGGTCACTAAAAACTCCCGCTCGGACCTCGGGCAGCCTTGTGCCCACTGCAGGCGGCATTTCTGTGAAGTGAGCAAAGGAGGTGCCAGTTGGCACTGCTTTTGGGCATCACTCACCACTCTCAAGGAAGGGACCGTCCTCTGAGCAGCAGAGCCACCCGGCAGTGAGGCCCATGGCACCCCCCATGCTGCGTCCTCACGATATCCACAACTACTTTCTTCCAGCAGCTGCTCTATTGCTATCTCAACTTTGTGATTTTAGAGTAAATTTATTGAAACATAAGGAAATAATCGAGTTGTGACTCAGGCTTTCCTGAAGCAACACACCACTTTAGTCAGCATGGTTCAGGGCGTGGACTCTCCCTCGTGACCGGGCCCCACCCAGAGCGGCCACCTCCGTATGCCGAGGGAGCAGAGCCACCATGTCTGACCGCGAGCTTCCACGTGGTGCATCACGGGCTGGCCCATCCTGGCTGCCGAGCTTTGCTCCTTGAATACAGATGCTGCCCCCTTCCTCCCTCCCCCGTGACTGGGGTGGTTCCTCCACTGACACCCCGCCCCCCCCACCCACTCAGTACCTGCCTGGGGCCAGGTGCCAGTCCTGGGGACACACAGTTTGCTGATGGAGAGAATTCAGGCAGAATCCTGAGATGAGCAGGGCAGGAAACGGCTTCACAGCAGGTGAGGCCACAGGAGCCCAGGGACAGGCAGCCACCCAGCAGTGACTACCGCTGACCTCCCACAGTGGCCTCTGCAGGGCAGTCAGTTAACCCAGGGCTGAGAACTGCGTGCCTGCTGGGAGAGCAGCACCAAAGACAAGAACTGTGCAGGGATGTCCGTGACCACGTGAGCATCCCATGGACCGAGCACACACACGGGGCGTGACAGACAAGCCTCGGCACACAGTCTGGTTTTGGGTTTTATTTAGAATTTATAAAATTCCAGTGTCATCCACATTCATGAGCCTTTACACGTGTTTGCATATAATCTCCAAATTCCAAAGTTAAGGCCAAGGGATGGATCGTAACTGTGGACACACGATATGGAAGACAGTCGACAGGCGAACGGACACTCGGCCCCACCCCCGCCCAGGGCTCCCCGAAGCAGCACCAGAGGTGGCAGGAGGGCCCCGGGCACAGTCACCTTGTGAGCTTGACTCACAGCCACACAGCGAGACCCGCACAGTGTAGGAGAGGGGGCTGCACCTACATTTAGGAATAAGTGCAGATGTGCAAACACCTGTTGGGACAATTAAAAATCCACCGTTGGGGAAGGGGGTTGGATGCCATAGAAACACAGGAGGAGGAGGTTTGGGCAGACACCAGAGGGGGAGGAGAGGGCAGCACACTGGCCGACAGGAAAGGCTCCCAAACTCATGCAGACGGAAGGGACCCCCAGGACCAGGGAGTGGGGGATGGTCCTGGAGAAAGGCCAGATGGCGCCTCTCCTCTCCGTCTCCATCGACTCCCCTGGTTTGGGGTCACCCAGCCTATTCAGCTGAAGCATGTCTCACCCCACCCACTGCTCCTAGAGGGGCATGTGGAGGCTGCCAGAGCTAACGGGACTCGCAGAGGCAACTGACGTCAGACTTGAGTTATGCAATTCTGGCCTATTTAGGAATTTCAGCCTAAAGATTGCGAAGCTGAGCAGTAAGTGAATGAAAAACTCCATGAAAAGGTGGTCAGAGAAGAAGTGACTGTCCCTGGGGAAGGGACAGGTGAGAGGCAGCAGTCAGCTCCTCTAAGAACTCAGTATCTGGGTGAAAACTCCAGAGAGGCTCAGTCACCTCCATGGAGGCAGAGATGGGGACCTGAGGCCAGACAACCCGGAAACCAAGGGCCCATCTGCGGCTTTCACAATACCGCTGAGGCATATTTCCTCTCCAGAGAGCACCTTTGCCACGCTGGCTGGGGCTGGGCACCCTGTCAGGCCTGGAATGACCTACTACGCACCTGACAAAAGCAGGCTCCCTTAGCAGGACCTGCTCTCCAGTGCAGGCCCAATGACAGCCTCTTCCCACCCCAGGAACACAAAGCCACCTCTGAAGGCCAGTTCCAGGGCCTGCACACAGTGTCTGTGTCAGAGAACAGCCTATGGGGGGTATGTGTGCTCCCCATTCTGGACCAGCACACTGGCTGCTGACCACTGGCCACCTGAGGGTGAGGGAGGGTGCGGCCCGGGGCTATGGCGGCCTCAGCGAACCAGGCACGCGTAACCACCAGGGCATCGGAATCAGGAGGCTGAGCACCGGGCTGGCACCCCCTTGGCAGGAGACACCACACTGGCTCTGTGGCGTGGGAGGGGGAAAGCGGAAGTCGGTGCAACAGGCCAGCTTGGAGGGGCAGTGGGTCTCTGCCTCTCCTCTGCGGGCCACCCCTCTCCGTCCCCACGGTTCTCAGCTCACAGCAGACCCAGATGGCAGACATGCAGCCTCACCTGGAACCTGGTCCCCCTGGGTCCGGGCGCTCCAGTGCGCACGCTGAGCCTGCCTCCCACCCTGGGGTTGGGCTCAGCGGACTGTGGCAGCGGGAAGGAACTGGACTGCAGTCCAGAGGGCTGCACGGCAGGCAGAAGGAAAAAGAGCTGGGAAAGGAAGAGGGCGAGCGTTTGGCTTTTCTAAAGTCAAGGAAATTTATTTCCTGAGGTCACAACACAGGAAGTGGGCGCAGCCCCAGCTGTGCAGCACTCTCAGTGGGGCCAGGGCCTTGCTGACATGCCGGTGGACCAGAAAGCTTGCCGTGAAATGTCCAATCGCCTGTGTTAGTGTTCAAACCGTGGAAAGCCGGCCCACAGCCAGGGTCGGGCAGATCCTGAGCACGCGCCGGGCGCTGGCCAGACCCGAGGACCAGCCACACGCAGCGCAGGGCGCCGGGCTTCACTGTGAGACCTCGGGGAGGGGGAGCGTCAACAATTTACGGAGGGTCCAGCTGCTGAGTCAGATTGAAACAAACCGTTGCGCGGTGGGTTTGGGTCAGCAGGCTGGAGGTTTGTTTTCTCATCATTATCGTTTGGGGCCCCAAGGGAGGGTCTTGGGAGCCACCTGAGCCCCAAAGCTGGGAAATTCCTCAGAGCTGCTCATATCCGGAGCCTGTGGGGACAGAGAGGGCACAGCTTTACTAAGCAGCTCCAAAATGGCCCCATCCTGGGTCCACCAGTGTCTGGTGAGTATGGCAGGTACCCACCCCACTGCCCAGACAGAGGGAAGGCACCGTGGATGAGCAACCGTCTGACCTTCTCACTACTGTTGGCAGTCCAGGGAGCATCCCGCACCACAAAGCCCTTGGAGGGCGCCTTGGACTCCTCGTGGGCTGGGGGCTTCATGTACACCTGCAGGACCTCGCTGTCCACCACATCAGCCAGCTGTGGGCACAGGCGGGGTCAGCTGGCAGCAGGGATGCCCAGCGAGCACCCGGCAGGCATCTGAAAAGGCAGGCACGTGGCCTCCGTGCCCCAGGCTGACTTACGTATTCTTCCTCCAGGTTGAGGATGTGGTCGACGGCCTCCTCCACGTGCTCCGGGAGCCCCGTCACAGTGACGCAGTTGGGGTCCGGGGCCCCGCTCTGGGGAAAGCGAATGTCCACCTGGAAGGAGCACACACACAGAAGCTGAGGCGGCTCTGAGTGGCTGTCAGGAGTTTTGAACTAAACAGCAGCCATCGGGTGTGGCTGGGACAGTCCATTTCTAGTATTTTCGCTGAGTTAATGAAAACTAAGGACCTGGTTTGTGGGTGTTGCCTTGTCATCACATCTGAGACCAGGGCACTGGGGGAGCACTGGTTCAGAGACCTCGTGTTGACGCACAGCCCCTGAAGACTGGCAGCCACACCTCGGGATTGCCACCTTCTCCAGGCCAGCACAGGGCACTGACCAACAGCATCAACTACACAGCTGAGACCCCACTTGACCTCACTGCCTTAGGGACCAAGCACCTGAGCCTGGGGGGTCTGCCCATGAGTGTGGTCAGCAGTCTCGGCATGAAGAGGCCAGGGGTCCCCAGTGTCCCTTACCGACCCAGGGAGGAAAGCTCTGGCAGTGGGGAGCACGCCCACCTCACCCGCGGGGCTTGCAGGACTCGCACACCCATCCCGGTGGGACAGAGGACGCACCTTGAATTCATCCATGATTTTGCGAATGGCTTTGCCACGGGCACCAATGATGCGAGCGTGGACACGGTGGTCTAGCGGGACATCCTCAGAAACCATCTGTTCAAGTTCGCCCACAATTTTCAGGATGGCGTCCCGGGCAGCCTCTGTGTTCTTCTCATACCCTGTGATGGTGATCTGGTCCTGTGGCTGACAAAGGAAATCCCGTCAGCAGAGGCCATGCCCGAGACTCCCGACTGGGAGGAGCACAGGGACCCGAGAGCGTTGGCTGGACTGAGGGAGGCGGGCTTCCTTCAGCTCAAGGGGAAAGACCAGTCCACTCAGAAGAGAAAGAAGGGGGGAAAAAACAAGGGTTCAGTTAGCTCCTGCCTCCTCCCAAACCCCACCCAGGAGACAGTCACACGCTGGAATAGAGCAGCTGCCCACACACGGGGCAGGACGCTGGCAGGGGAGGGGTCATGGGCGGTCCCACAGGCGCCTGCCTGGAAGTCTCTGGAGATGACCGACCTGGAAGAAGGTGCCAGGTGGCATGGGCGGCCTCCATATCTGCGTGCGCCGCCCCCAGCCTCCCTCCTGCCCTACAAATGTGCAGGCAGAGAGTGAGCAGAGTACATGATCATCCAAAGCACAGAAGGAAACTGGAGAACAGGGTAATAACCTCAGACCACTTTCCTAAGGACAGGAGACTACTCCACCCATTAAAAAAAGAACAGAACACAGTGTGAGAGAACCAGAGAACAGGAACAAATACCTAGAAACGGAACAGGAACAGGGCCTTAGAGACCCACCTGGGAGAGGCAGAGAAGCCCCAGGAGTCCAGGGGAAGCAGATGCACGGGGGGGGGGCAATTCCTACCCGGTCCCTCCCCAGCAGTGCCCAGAAACCTCTAGCAGCCAGTGAGGCCTCGCCAGGGCAGTGCTGAGCACAGAGACTTGACATAAATCTCACAGGAAAAAGCTGGGTATGAAAGATGAGGCCATCTGACCCTACATGATTCATGGGATGTTAGCAGTCTAATTATTAAATAGTGACTTTATAAAATGAATAATTATATGGGAAAGTTGAGGGAAGTAAAGGTGAGGTGCTGGACAGGACTAAATTCTTAAAATCAAGATAACTAAAACTCAAGTCAGAAGTAAAAAAGAGCAGCAGTATAAACACAGTCCTTAGAAACAGGTAAACAGAACAAACGGCAAGAACCACTGCACCTGGGCAGGATCAGGGCAGGGAGCAGAGGAGGGACGGGCTCAGCACCCGCAGGCCACCTCCCTCTCTGACCGACCAGGGAGAGAAGCAGGCAGGAGACCTGCCCCGACGCTCAGACGAAGGCTGGAATGTGTGGTGGGGCCAGGCCAATCTGCAGAGGCTTGCTGGGATTTGCTGGCGGGAAGGTCCTGGTGAACCATTTCTGGGTGCTCTGTTGTGCTGCAGAGATGGCAGGAGCCCCACGAGAGACTGGGCTCTCTACCTCCCCTGGGGCCGAGAGGGAAGACAGGCAGGAGGCTGGGCTGGGCCCAAGGAGGGCCATGCAGCGCAGAGGGCGCGCACCTCAGCAGGGCTCCGCCTGTGTGGACAACTGTGCGAGGACCCTGCCGGAGCCCCCAGACGGGCACAGGAAAAATGCCCTAAGTCCACAAAGCAACACGACTTGACAGGGCAACCTCACCCGGCTGGCATGCATCAAGGCGGGCCCAAACCCAGGGCCAAACTCAGTCCTGCAAGACCTGCCACTCGGACCCTGCTCTCTCGCTGCCCAGCTGGCCACCTCCTGTGCCTGGTCACTGTCCCCACGCCAGGACACGAGTCCACCTCCCCCAAGGGTTCCAGGTGCCGTCTGACCGGAGGTCTCTTACCTGGCTGCCATCGTCCTTGTCAGGAAACTGGATGTTGACGTCATGTTCCTGGCGGATCTGGGTAATCACCGCCCCCTTTCTCCCAATGATTTTGGGATGATATTTGGGGTCGACAGTGACGCTCAGCTTAAAACTCCTTAAGGCCTGTAGGTGAAACGAGCAAGGATGAGGCCAACGGCAGAATGAGCCTCGAGCGTCACTCACCATCACACCATCCACGGGCCTCCATCCCGAACCTGGATGGCGTCACTGTTGCCACAGCAGCAAGAACAAGCTGTGACTCTCCCGCAAGTCTGTGCCACATCCCAGCTTCAGCGAGGACAGCCAGAGCCTGGACCTGCGCAACCAGGTCCATGGAGCCCCCAGAGGAGGACCTGAGTGGTACCAAGTGGGGCTGCCTGCTCCTAAGCTGTGGAACAGGATCTGAGGAGTAGGCATGAAAAAGGCCAGAAAGCCCAGCCGGCGTGGCTCAGTGGTTGAGCATTGACCCATAAGCCAGGAGATTACGGTTCGATTCCCGGTCAGGGCACATGCCCGGCTGCGGGCTCAATCCCCAGCAGGGGCCATGCAGGAGGCAGCCTGTCAGAGACTCTCTCTCATCACTGATGTTTTTCTCCCTCTCCCTCCCTCTCTCTGAAATCAATAAAAACATAAAAAGAAAAAAATTAAAAGGTCAAAAAGAAACCAGGGAACTAAGTGCTGGGGGATATAGCCCCAACGTGTGTGGCCAGACCCCAAAGTCCTTGCCTCAGCTAAGACAACGGGGCACACCCGACACTGGGATGTGAGCCCAGTCACGCTCTGATGAAGGGTCTGTACCTGGCATAACCTACAACCACACTTTCAGTGCCTAGGACCTGCCCCCGAACACCAGCTCCGGGGAAGGGCTGTCATCCAACAGTAGGGAAACCACACCCACCCTGGGCTTAGCACATCCTGGGGTGTCTCTGGCAACAGCCCCTGGGCCTCCCAACCCTCTCTTCCCTGTGAGGTTGAAAGCACCGCCAGGTCTCCATATGTACTTGGAAAAAACTAACAAACACGGAAACCTGTCACTGCTACACTGAGACCCCCCACCACTGTTCTGACAAAGGCTCCCCATTCAGCAAGGCTTCTGAACGCTGACTGGGTTGGTCTCCAGCTTCCTGATTTAAGGGGTCACAGTGTGGCCAGGGTGTTGGGTCTCTGAAAGCCCCTGGTGATCAAGTGTGACCATGGCTGAGAACTATGGCTCAGGAAGAAGCGTCCACAGCCCCGCCTGGCACTCACCCGGTCCTCCTGCTCTGCCTGCAGCTCCCGCACACGCTCCAGGAGCCCTGCCTTGGCCCGGTCCAGGTTGGAAGCGAGGCCTGTGATGGCGATGACATCGGACTGCAGCTCAGGTGCTGGGACGTGTATATTCACCTGGTGGAGATGGAACAGACCCAATGTACGTGGTCCCCTCCGATGGCCAGCTTGGAAGTCGTGACCAACCTGCCCATCACAGTTGGCCAGGGACACCCTCGCAAGCTGGGGACACGGAGGTTGGGTCCTGTGAAGCTTGAGAACACAGAGCAGGAGGGCCCTCCTCTGGAGAGGGTGTGACAGTCACTCCCACAGCTAGTCTCCAGGGACAGGACCTGCAAACACTCACCTCAAACTCATCCATCATCTTGCGGATCCCGCTTCCCTTCTGCCCAATGATGTACCGGTGAAGGTCAAAGGGCACCTCTACCTCAACGGTGACAGGAACCAGTGCCTGCAGGGAGAGGGCTGCGCGTCGGAACCTTCCACACTGCTCCCCTGGACTGAGAAGGCCACCGCCAACCCCAGAGAAAATGGGAAAGGCCGTGGAGTCCAGGTTAGGGTAACACGGGTAGAGCGCCTTTCAGACCCGGCCCCAGCCTCTGCTCCTAAACATAGAAGGGCCCTTGTCAAAGCAAAACAATGGAATAAAACAAATCCAGGAAAAACGGGACTTGAGATCTAGGCAGGGGTGAGGGTGCCCTCAAACTCAGAGGCCACCCCAACTCCCAGCCTCCCAGAGGTCAAGAATGGACTGTGACCAATCCCTGGATGTGGGGCCTCTCTCCTGTCTCTCAGCTCAGTGCAGAGACAGCTTTGTACACTGTGCCCCACGTGCAAGCAGCGCTCGGCAAGCACTCGCTGAAAAGATGACTCAACCTCACAAGCCCCAGGAAGGTCTGAATATCCCCACCTCACGGATGGGGACACAGACCCTCCATTGGGCTGCCCTGGGAGGGACAGCAGAGCCTGCAGGCCCAAGGCTCTTGCCAGGTCCTGGGCAAGGAGACACCATGGCCTGCAGCTCAAGCCACGGTGCTCGTGTTTAGGACTTTATAAAGCGACAAGGCTCATGAATCTGCCGCCACCAGGGTGACATCACTCAGCTACCCTCACTCCCAGGGCGGGGAGGAGCCACACACACCTCCAGGGCTTCCTTGGCAGCCTCACACTTTTCCTTCCGGCCAGAGATGACGATGATGTCACAGCGCCTGGGAGAGCCAGGGTCGGCCTCCCTGCTGTCCCCGGCATCCTCACCGTTCTCCTGCACAGCCGGCTCTGCACTGTGACCTGCGGAGAGCAGGGGGCAGGTCACACAGGCCTCGGCCGCACTGCCTCACCTTCAACAGGGACCCGAGTACTCGAGACACCAGGAACTGATGGCAGAAGGCGTGAGGGGGGCCCACCAAGTGCGAGAGGGGAGGACAGATGTTCCCACAGCCCAGGAGACCTGGTGCTGGGAGGAGGCAGTGGGAGGGGCTTGAGAGATGTAGGAGGGACAAGGTGACACTGCACCAGCTTCTTCTGCCTGGGAGAAAGTGCCAAGAATAAAGGGACCTGAAACAAGACATGGAAGCAGCTGGCAAGGCTCCTGTGGGCCACGCTGGGACCATGTGTGCACCCAAATGAACACGAGAACAACATTCCTGGTTGGAGGCAGAACCCAGGAGTCTGTCCAATATGAATAAATGAGTGACTGGATGAACAGGCCGGCACAGATGCCCAGAGCCACCATGATTCTGCATCAAAACTGGGCGATGCTTCAAAACCAAAAAAACCTGAATGTCAGCTATGAGCTCGTAACTCACAACCAGATCGTCAGATTCTGATGAACGAGCCAGGGTTACCACAGCCAACGTAAGAGAGCATCCTTACTCTTAGGAAACAGCCACATGGATAAGAGGCAGGTCTGGAAATCGCTCAAATGATTCAGAGTACGCAGTGTGTGTGTGCGTGTGTGTGTGAGTGTGTAAAGGGGTGGGTG